TTCCTTCCCTGCACTTTGGCCATAAATGCAAAAAATCTTCCAGCATTAGGTTAATTGTCCCAGCAGCTACCATCTAGATGTTAATCTTTTGGAGTTCAGGGGGTTTGGTGAGATAATCCATGCGCTGGATTATGGAAAGCTCTGTCTTTGAGTTCAGGGGGTTTGGTGAGATACATGCGCTGGATTATGGAAAGCTCTGTCTTTCTCTTATCTCATTTTAGGGTGTGATCATATGGGTATAGAGCTTGGACCTCTTGCAGGGCAAGCTATTTCCCAGTGGTCACATGATGTATGAGGGGTAGTGCTCCAGTCCAACTGCAATCTATGTCCAAGATGGACCTCTTTGGTCCAGCAGGAGGGCTACTCCTATTTTGGACTGGGCTGCAGTGATTCCCCAATGGATGGAAGGGTCACTTGAAGAGAAATTGCTCCCAGTAAACTCACCCTTTCTGGTACAATCAGACACACATCTTTCATGACAAAGCAGCTTAGTAAAGTAAACATTTGATCTCACTCATTCTACGGGGTGAATTAGAGAATCTATGACCCATTGACATTATTAATGGCTTACAAGTGTTTCAGAAGTATGTCTCCTTCAGTGACAAAATTACAAAGAATCCTGGATTCAAAAGGTTGTGCAATTATCAGTTAAGTCACTGATAAGCTACTGCTCCATGTTATTCCTCTGATTATCCCTGTTTCAATAAAAAGATTGTACTCTTCACATTTTTATGAGTCACAAATAATTATTCACCTCAGATATGGTTTAGGTCTGTCGGCTCCAGAAGTAGTAGTGTAAATTTGGAAGCCACCCTTCCAACAAGGAAAGCTCAATTATGCAAAGAGCTCAATCGAGGAGCAGATTTTTGTTATGTCTTTTAAATTAAGTTAATCATTCCTGATTGCTCATTCAGTACCAAATCTCCTTCTGATGTTTTGCATTACAGCAGGGGTAGCTTGGAACAATATTTCTCTCCCAACTATTATGCGGCTAAATTCAGAGGGAGCAGAGAAATCTTGAGGGGGGTGGTCAAATGATGTCATCGTCCCTCCTACTCAGAAAGTCACAGGTCACTGACCCTCTGAATCCTGACTCTACTATTCCACTGGTGAGTCCTACTGTGCTTTTCACCAGTACCCAGAAACTGTGGCAAGGTGCACTAGATATACAGGTTCATAAAAAGTTTGCTCTAAGTCACTGCTGAGGAAAGGATTTGTTTTGAGTAGAAGTATTTAACTGAACACATGATCCTTCTGTACAAGAACCAATCAAGCTTTCTTCATTTCTACAGTCCCTAAGTGGAAGATTGGGGAACCCGAAATGTGGGAAAGTCACTCAGAGATTTAACAGCAGGTCCTACCTGATTACTATCCCTACATTCCTGATCTATTATACAGTATTGCCTGGCTACCAGTCTCAAATAACATACCGTATTTTTCAATGTATAAGACAGTACTTTTTTTAGACCAAAATTTTTTAGACCAAAAATTGGGGGTCATCTTATACACGGGGGTAACCAGTTAAGAGAACGCCATGGTTGCACAGTAAAACTGCCAATGCCTTGTCTCTGCAAACAGGCTTCTGCCCAACGTATCCTCTAATTCTCAGCCCCACTGGATGGGGCTCTGCCCCTCCTGTGACCTCGCCTCTGCGTGCTTGCATGGCTCCACCTCCCCATATGTCTGTGACTTTGCCTCTACGTGCTTGCATGGCTCCACCTCCCCATATGTAGGCTTCCATCATGACTGCAACCTAAGGGGTTGAGCACGATCTTGGAGGGGGAAAGAAAGCTCTGCAGAGGGAGGCAGAGATGTGTGTGGGTGTGCATGCATGTACCCAGCTTAGAGGGAATCTTGCATCTGCCAAGATTGAAGAAAGTGATATGCCCAGAATGGAGAGTGATGCATAATTTCATCTTTAAAATATTGCATAATTACCTGTACTAAATATGCCTTTAGTATTTGAATACCTTAAAAATAAAACATGTTATGTTTCATATTTAAAATGTTGATTTCTTAATGTTTGCTTAGAAAAGCAGAGGTTGTCTTATACATGGGAACGTCTTATACATGGAAAGATACAGTAAATATTTTCTTAGTTCTTGACCTTAGAACTGGAATCGATAGAAAAACACAGTATTTGTCAGATTGCCTCAAAGTATAAACAGCTTTTCAAAGCCAGAAATTGATTATGAACCAGAGTATGGACAATATATAATAGACAGTTGCCCTTCTTAGAAGCAGCTAGAAGTATTGTGTATCAAATCAATCCTTTTATTTGAAATTAATGGACGCAAATTAATATATAATAGACAGTTGCCATTCTTAGAAGCAGCTAGAAGTATTGTGTCCTTTTATTTGAAATTAATGGACGCAAATTGACAGAGGGACAGACACACACTGTGAATAATGAAGCCTGTTTCATGTCTACTATTGGTGGATAATATCAGTTACCAGGAAGAGATACTTCTGAAACCTTAACGAGATTGACTGCACACTTTTTAAACAAAAGGAGGGATCATTTTGCCTGGCCCACACCATTTACCCTTAGATTTCAAGGCAGGGAAGAACAACAACAAAATGGTCATTATGCAAATGCAGCTTACAAAGTTCTCTGTCACAAATTAAAAGTTCCCAAGAAACACACCAACGTTAACTTCAAAACATTTTATTAAACAGATTGGGGATTAATGACAGGCCACAGCTTCAACTGGTTTCAGCAGAGTATTATTGGTGCTGCTGGAAGGACTGGATACCTCCACTGGGTGACCTGCCTGCCAGCCAATGCATGCCTCAAGTTGGGTCTAACACCTAGATGAAAGTCCAATTGGGTACCCATCAAACATCCTGGGGAAGAACTGCAGCAACCCTCTCAAACAGGGCACGCCCCTTCCAACCCCTTCCCCCACTCCAAGACCCCATCCAGGAATCTCTAGCCTGGAATAGGGCCACTGTCCATCTCCCTCACCTAGTATCTGCTCCTATGTGCAACAAAGTGCTACAAGAGGCAGGCAACAGCCCCTCACCCTGGCCACCTCCCACCAAACTATTCCTGCTGCAACCACTCCAAGAGGTCTTCACTGATATCTGCTAGCCAGGTGTCCCGTCCAAGGTCTGAAAGGAGCACCCTTGTCGCCTTTCTCTGTGCTAGATCCATTGTACTTGGTTTCACTGCTCCTTTCTACTCCTGCCATTCAAGCATGTCTGGCCAAATCAAAGTGGTCCTGGCCAGCCACACATGATGCTGCATAAGGTCTTCCTCCATGGATAGCATCAGCTCCTTTTTGCTGGTAGATCATTGCTACCAAACTGGATCAGGAGGAAAGAAGAGTTGCAGCTGCTGCTTGATGGTGGACATCGTCCCCCATCTCATCTCTTGCTTACCAATTCACCTGACATGAAGCTTTCTTTTTGGACCAGGATGGGGGGGGGGCAAGGCACATACTTGCTGCATGTCATTGAGCTCCAAAGCATGTGGTGATGCATGCAAAATTACAAGAGTGAATCAAAAAAATCGTTGTGTGCTTGTAACCTTGGAGAATACAGAACAGGCCCAAAGAGTTTTCCATTTACCCTCATATACTGATGTAGCCACCTAACAACAACAACAACAAACAACAAACAAACAAACAAACAAACAAACAAACAAACAAACAACAACAACAACAACAACAACAACAACAACAACAACAATAACAACAACGTGCCCTCAAGTTGATTCTAATCATGGTGACTCTTTCCATAGTTTTTAAGGTTTGGATTACTCAGAAGAGGTTTACCATTCTCTTGTCCTGGGACACCCTCTGACTGCATAGTCAAGGCCATACAATCTGGCTGTTCTCCCAGGAAGCACAGCAGGGAATTGAACTCCTGGCTTCCATCTCTGTGGCCAGACTCTCCTACTCATGGAACTATCTAGTTATCTGTAGAAAGCTAGATATAAACTCAATTTTCTTTGTCCTACCACCTAACCTTCAAAACTTTTTCTCACAAAAAAAAACAAACCTGTGTACAACACAAGTCTCAGACTTGGTTGGCTACTTGTGCTTTTGTTCATTGCCCATTCTTGAGTGTAATCTGGACCAAAAATAGTGACAAATAAATATCTGGAAACTTTACATTAGGCAGGCAAAGCTTCATGCCAGCACAAAATGCTGTGCTGAAATATGAATCATGTTGTTTTTATACATCCTCTGAGAAAGCTGACTGTCTCTATATCATCTGACAGGAAACATGTTAAAAGGCATCGCTGTTTAGGAACACCCATTGTAAACAATATGTCCAAATGCAACACTGGAGGAAACAGTAACTATCTGGTGAATCAAGGCCACTGCCTCATGGACTGACTGCCACTTTTTTGCAGTATTTTCCTAAACCCTGACAAGATACTGATCTTTTACATTTAGTATACTGGATATACTACAGCATTTCTTTAAATTTAGCTCCTGATTCTCCAGCACTGCTTCTGGGACATGTGAATTAAGCTAACTATGAGAAGTAGGGATTTTTCTGGAGTCATGTGATTTCCATGGCCAAGACAACTCCGACTGTGGTGTTAATGCTCTGGCTCATATAATCCGCAGTTTCCTCTTCCAGTCAACAGCCCTAGTGATGTAAGAAACCATTTCTCAGTTTAAAAGTCATCATGTGTGGCAATTTGAAGCACAAAAGAGGAAAGGCTATGAGCTGTGTCTTCTAACTAGGGTTGCCACCTTCTGTTCTGCTCATACTCCTTTGTCTTCAAGAGCAGCCCATGAGAAACTTCTGCTTTGTTTCCTGTGTGGAAAGAAAGACTTGGAAATTCTTTGGTTGATATATAGATATGCACCAGCCTGCTCTGAAACATGCAGAACCCTCTTCCAAACAGAGGACAATTATGAGTCTCTTTTCTGAGAGCAAACTTCTTATTTAGTAGCTGATATTATGGCTATGTTAAGACAGCTTGAGGCAACATGTCTTTCTATGTCATAAAAGCATCCTGGCAACCTAATCTGAGCTGAATCACATTCTGATGGCAAAGAGTGAGAGAAGAAAATAGGTTCAAGAGAGCAGGATGGAGGCACCCATCATGCCACAGAATATACACAATAAGGCAAGTGCTTTTAACACATGTTACTATAGAACCAACTTGACATTCATCTGAAAGCCATAAATGCCATTATTGGAAATCCAGCTGAAGTAGCAGGTAAACAAATCTCTTTCTTTTTTTCTTGGTCTCATTGTGGAAGCAAGAAAGTTATAGGTAAAGGTAAAGGTTCCCCTTGACATTTAGTCTAGTTGTGTTCGACTCTAGGGGGTGGTGCTCATCCCCATCTCCAAGCCGTAGAGCCAGCGTTTGTCCAAAGACAGTTTCTGTGGTCATGTGGCCAATGTGACTAGACACGGAACACTGTTACCTTCCTACCAAGGTGGTACCTATTTATCTACTCACATTTTTACATGCTCTCAAACTGCTAGGTTGGCAGGAGCTGGGACAAGCAACAGGAGCTCACTCTGTTGCGTGGATTCAGTCTTACAACTGCTGGTCTTCTGACCTTACAGCACAGAGGCTTCTGCGGTTTAACCTGCAGCACCACCACATCCCTCAGAGTTATAAGAGAGTTATATTCTTCGGCTATTTGCAATGCACCTTGTGAAGTCCTGTCTAATACCTTGAAAGCTGTTGATCTTGCACCTACATTCCTGTTTAACAATGGTGAGTATTTCTAAACACTGTTTAGGGCCCTGCCAAGTTGTTAGCAGGCCTGCACAACTGTGATCCATCACGTCCAATATAGACTGCCATCATGGGTGTCTGCATGGCCATCACTTTCTGGAATCCTAAATGGATTTTTTTTTTTAAATTTAAGCAGAAAGATATACTGGTCAAAACCCCGCTTGGAATCATGGGGCGGAGTGCTGCATATTGTCTCCACTTTGCCATTTCCCTTCTGCTTATGCAAAAAAGGTAGTGAAGACTTGCCAAGCTCTGAGAAAGCACAGCTGCTTAAACCACCAACCACTAAGCCAAACAAACAAAGATTCTCCTCACTCTCATTAGTGGTGCATGGGTGGATGACTTATGGACTGGGATGGAGGGGCACTTCATCCCAAATGGGTTAGATTTTAGCAGGAAACAAAAGGAGCTGAGTTTTGTTGTTATTGTTGATAGTGTATTTAGCTCTCAGGCTCTGACTGCCCACAAGCCCACATAGAATCCTATGGCTGCATGGAAGACATTGCCCCAAGCTAAGGGCCAGCATCAGATCTCACACCTTTTTCAACTACAGATCCTAGCCAGCATGGTTACCCATGGTCTAAAACATACTCTTCTATGCTCTGCAGGACTTTACTCACAATGTTAATCATTGGTTGGAAGAAAGAGAGGGAAAAGATGACCACGTTCTTTCAGAGAAGGAGATAATCATCTCTGTGAGTTGCTGGTCCTGAGTATATCCAGTTAATAGCCATACAAGGGGCCAGTAAAGAAAATGGAACACCTGATAACAGCTTTGATCTTTTCTAATCCTCCTTTGTATGGCACCCTCAGTTTAGAGATTGGTCCGTATTTATTTTGCCCTTTGTGAAGAAAGGCAACAATGTCTTACAAAACAAGTCTAGCAAAAATAGGCAGGTATGATTTTATTGGTAAGATTTCATTTTAAGCACTATTCTTGGCGGTTTTCTGTGTTCATTTCCCATTCAGATTTACACTCCAACTTGTATTTGCCTTCCCTCATTAACTTACTCCTCCTCTACATGCTATTTGCACGCTTGGTTTTCTAGGGGACTGGAGCTGGGATGCTGTTACATCCTGTTTTGTCCAGTTCCTCTACTCCTAAAAGTTTCCATATCCTTCCTCATGCATTTAAAATGGTGCCTAGAAAAAAAAAAGTCTATAACTATGTTATACTTCAAAACTAACATGTGTTACAAAATTAATTCAGTGTAACTAGTAGTGTTTTCTAATAACTTTCAAAGTACATTTTAAGGCATTTTTAGAGACATTTTGAGAGATTTTTCTGATACTATGCCATTCCCTTATTAGTCCAGATAAGAGAAGTATTGTTTTGTGTGCTTGTATATTTTTGTTAGATAGTTATCAGATTAGGCCACTGGAGGGACTGATGAGTATATTTCTAGTCCGCATAAGGATGTACAGTGCATCACATTAATGGAAAACAAGACAATGCATTAGTTCTGTGATGAATTAAGCATCTGGCCTATGCAGAATAATGAAATAGTTGCTGAAATCCTTGTGATTAGTGTAGTAAGTCACAACTAGAGTAGGCCTATTTGAATCAATGACATTTACAGAGGAGATGACTCACCAAATTCCCACTGATTCAGTGGGCCCACTCTAGTATAGCAACTTGCCTGAAATCCTGTTGATGTAAGTAAGTAATGATCCTGTAAGAATTATAGAGGTCAAATGTTAGGCTGCATTTATCACCTCTGTTGTGTGATTGAAAGGTTTATCTGGTACCTGCTTCTGCTCTTTCTTCCCAAACAGAAAGAATTTGAAGAGTTTTTGAAAAGGGCAGGACCCCGTCTTGTTGTTGTCAACTTTTCAGCAAAATGGTGTGGGCCAGGCAAAGTGATCCGTCCTTTTGTTTATGTAAGTCAGACTGACTCTTCCCTGCCTCGTGCACTACCTCTAGGCAAGAAGAATATATAACATCACTCTTGTGTTAATCATTTTACCAATGCTGGCTATCTCTGCTGTTAGTAACTGTACTGAGTGTACACTCAGCTGAGTGGTGTCATCATATTATCGCTGCCCCACAGCCAGTAGATGATGGTGTGGACTGGGATAGGGATATATGCCATGTGGAACACTTTGTAGGGGACGTGTTAACATGGCTTGTTCATTAGAGGCTGGTCCATTAGATTTAGCTGTGATGAAAGACTCTCTCAAATCAGGATCAACCTACAGACAACTTTTGTAGATTCTCAGGGAAAGGGACACCATCTTGTCTTCCAAATATTGGATCAGCACTTATTAGTCATGATGTGTATGTGAAGACTCCAGCTTCAGAGGCAGTATGCCACTAAACACCAATGCTGAGAAGCAACAGTGGGAGAGATGGAGAGAGTATTTCATTCATTCCCTGCTGAGTGACTTTCTGGGAGCATCTAGTAGTCCCTGAGAAAAGCACACTTATGTGCTCCAGAGACCTTCGGCCTGATAAAGTAGGACGCCACTCACAGCCGTCTTTACACAAGCTTGTAGACTTGTTCTAGCACCTTCTGCTGGATCCTTACACAAGGCTCTTTTGAAGATGTGCTAACCTCTCTGATTTTAGGAGAGGTCAAAGGACCATTGGTTTCAAATTAGTATTAATGCTCAAGGCCTCGACTCACAGGATTTTGCCCTCCCATTAGGCAGAGCGCCAAAGGCAGCAGCTGCTTGGTGCTGTGAAGGGGGTAGGAACAGCTGTCACCAGCCTCTGGCTGTCCTCCTCTCCTGGAGGACAAAACTCCATGTTTCCAGCCAGGCAACTTCCCTGGCATTCTCTAAGCCAGCCTACCGCCTTCAGGTGTAGGGGAGAGAGGATACTGGCCCATCAACCCAGCCAAAGTTAGATTTAACTGCCAATCCAGCTGGCTTTTGTGAGTGGAAGGAAAGGGAGAGGAGAGTCATCCTGAACTTTTTTTCAGAAAGTAAAATGTCTTGGCTTGTCTCACTGATTCATAATATTTTGGGATAAAATGTCAGCTACTTTCGAGAAAAATAATGTTTTTTTGCAAATGAATTTATAAATGCTTTTCAGGAGAACAAGGTGTCTGTGATATACTGCACCTGAAATCTGTGATCAATTCCCATTCAGTCAATGACACACACCCCCAATGGGGGATCTGGGGCCAGTTATGCAACTGTATTTTCACCAAAATGACACTGGGGGCAGAGTTATCACAGGTGACGACCCTGTGAGGTACGCAGTGGTTTGTGGTATTAAAAGGGAGGGTGGAGAAACCCCCTTGTCTATTTTCATCTTCTTTTATTTTTAATATTTCCCTTACCAATTAAGTGAAATTCTAAGACCATGCCAGACTGATGGACTGCCATTTCGGTGTGCCATTTCCTCTTTTAACAAACAAAAATGGGAAAGTCACCATAGCTTCCTGAATGATGGCTGTGAGAAAAGGCAGGGAAGGGGGCTAAGTTGACTCCATGGGCTCCAACCCATGAGGAAGGACAGTCCCAGCAGAGCCTCAGTTGAGGAGAAAGGCTGTAAAGGGAGGTGTTTACCTCCCTTCTCTCCCCCCCCCACCTTTACCCCAATAGTCTCCCCTCACACCATAGCTGTTCTTGACTGTCATGGCTGCTGCCTTTTCACTCACAAACAAACTGGGTAAACTTACTTGTGAGGAAGCCAGGCAACCCCTGCTTTGTATGAATCTGTACCATGGGAGAAGAGGACTGGCAGCACAATCTTCAGGGTGGACAGAAGGATTGGTCTAGTGGGAGTTAATACAGATCACAGTTAAGATAAGAACCTTCTAAGTGCACACCGGGCGCATCAGATTTCCCAGTGTGGACAGGCCAAATCTGGGCTGTTGTTACGATAAACTGGAGCCATGCCAGTTGCTTTGAGTCACTGGAAAAACAGAGACATAACAATCGATAAAATCTTATGAAAACATTACTTCTGGGGATGAGACATATTAAAGTGCAATGAAGTATTAAACATTGTTTGCATCTCTTTTTCACTCACATGCAAACACACTTATTTCACACTTACAATTGTTTGAAATGGCTCCCTGGAGGGAGGTGCCCAGGCAGCTCTCCTCATTTGTTGCTCAGCAACTGTTTTAAGTCAGCAAAGGTTAATGAAAGGTTTGAATTAAAATCACATACCATAAAAGGAACAATGAGTCACAAGAGATGTCTACTAAAATAAAGTTTCCTGACAACTTAGGGGCTTCCCTCCATTGAGTTTGCTATTTCAGTTTAAAGTATCTTGTGACCTCACAAGAAATGGAATTACCGGGTTCAATGGAGTTCAGAGCTCTATTGACTCTCCTGATAAATGGATCTGCCCCAAAACAGGTGTAGACAGGAGATAGATTGGTGGCCTCTGGGTGTTTTGCGTACATCCTGTAAATTGATCCTGGTGGACCCAATGTAGTGTAGTGGACAGAATGCCTGACTCAAGTTTCGAATGCCTGGATTCGAATCCCTCCTTGGCCACCAAAACACACACTGTGGTGTGGCACTGGTAAAACCGCTCCTTACATGTCACACTTACATTTAAAGCTCTATTAAACTCACTACAAGTCAATTCCAACTTGACAGCACCTAGCACACATCAGAATGTTTTATTAGACCACTAATATATTTTAGGACATGGTGGCGATGCAGGCTAAACCACAGAAGCCTGTGCTGCAGGGTCAGAAGACCAGCAGTCATAAGATCGAATCCACATGACGGAGTGAGCTCCTGTCACTTTGTCCCAGCTCCTGCCAACCTAGCGGTTCGAAAGCATGTAAATGCGAGTAGATAAATAGGTACCACCTTGATGGGAAGGTAAAACAGTGTTCTAAAAGGTAGATGTTGGCCACGTGACAACAGAAGCTGTCTTCGGACAAGTGCTGGCTCTACAGCTTGAAAACAGGATGAGCACCGCCCCCCACGACTGGACTAAAAATGTCAAGGGGAACCTTGACCTTTTTAATATATTTTAAATAGGCATGTTTTTGAACCTAGCAATGACCTTCATTAGGCTGGGGATTTCAGCGTTTGTGGAGCTGGGGTGAGGGGAGAAGATCAGTATCAAGATCTGCATTAAAATAATGTCCTAAAATGAGATTGCAAGCTTATTGCATTAGCTTGAATTATCAGATTTCACGAAGGGCAATGTGGGATTAATTGCCTTTCTCTGCCTCTGTAAAAAGGGCTGTCAACCACCTGGTATATTCCCCACTGCCTCCTGATGAAGTGTATAACTTCTGGCTTGTTGGGAGCAGAGAAACACAGGGACTTGACAATCCCATATCAGAAGAGTTGGAGGTATAATTTAGTTGACACACTAAGCAATAGATGTCAAAATTAGGGTCTTACCTAGTGTTTTTAGACCAGTGATTCCCAACCTTGTGTAACCCAGGTGTTCTTGAATCCCATATCAGAAGAGTTGGAGATATAATTTAGTTGACACACTAGGCAATAGATGTCAAAATTAGGGTATTACCTGGTGTTTTTAGAGCAGTGATTCCCAACCTTATGTAACCCAGGTGTTCTTAGACTGCAGCACCCAGAAACCTCAGCTAGCACTGCTGGTGTTGAAGGCTTCTGGGAACTGCCGCCCAAGAACACCTGGATTACAAGGCCAGGAGCCCCTGGTTTAGAGGAAGACGGAGTCCTCAGGTGGAGCAATCCTTCTTAAATACTTAGGGAGGATCACTCTCCATGATCATTTGTCTTGATCTTGATTCTAGAAGGTACTGCTAGTAAAGCTTACCTATTTTAAATATTTTAGTGGACCAATAAAGGTACAGGTATTAACCGCTCTTGTTTTGAAGAGTTGTGAAACACACAGAGCAAGGAGATCTATCATTGCTCATGCATGCTGCTTGTTGTACCCGTGTGAATCCGTTGGAAAAACGTAATAGAGGGCACAGCTCCATTGCAATTTATCCTGTGGTTTGTGGCAGAGGTGGCATGGTTAAATTCAATGCATTTTTCCATTGACTACACAGTCAATGAGACAAGGCATGTGCTCACTTGAGGATGATGTTCTTGCTGCACTGACATACTGTGGATATTATTACAGATAATTCCTTAAACTCTGAGCATTCCTGATCATCAGATCTGTAGTTCTTCACATCTCTGGGGCTTATGAATTAAATTGATTTGTTTTATGACTGGTCATCAGGAGGTAAGGCCAGTTTTCATTTATGATTTTTAGTATGACTAGTAAATCATGAAGGTCTGGCTGGATCACATTTGTAAAAGATGAATAGATTTCAGCTTCTAATAATAAGCTCTTTGGGATGCTGTCCTGGCTTCCCAAGGAAACAGCACAAGAACGGTGCCACACTCTATGAGGCCCTTTTATGTTCGTCCACATAGTATACTACTCCTAATAGTGGCTCATAGAGCAGAGCCAACATTAAGACAGATCTTAATGTTCAGGCTGATAGGCACTCCCTCAAGTTGCAAAGTCCCACATTTTCTGGGAGTTTGAATCTCGTTATTAACAATTTGAACTTGGACCAGAAATATTTTGCCAGCCACTACATTTCCTCTAAAATGTGGTTAATGCCGTGTCTACATAACATTCCATGAAGAACTTAAGATTTAGAATGCTTCTAGTGCTACTAACCGAAAAACATTATTAAATTATGTTACATTTTCTTTATTGACAAATTTTGTTTGGTAAGACAAAAAAAACCATAAGAACCAGTGAGAAAAACACAAGTGGTGGGACGATGGAACAGATTTCAAGTTTGCAAAATATTTCCTTTCCATTATTTATTTATTTGTTTGTTTGTTTGTTTGTTTGTTTGTTTGTTTGTTTGTTTGTTAGTTTAAACTTATACCCCACCCATCTAGACCGAAGTCTACTCTGGGCGGCATTAGAACTCCAACATCTACCTTTTAGAGTCAGATCCCATAACACTGGCTGAGAAGGGTATGCCCTCTTTTCCTTCCTATTCTAGAACTACTGGCCAACCTCTATGGTTGGTTGGATAGGTGGTCAGTTGGTTGGTTGGTTTAAAATATTTTTACCCCACCTTTCTCCTTGAAAAGGACCCAACGCAGCTTTCAGCTTCAACATTGTAAGACAATAATGAAGTCGAAAATAATGAATGTACAACAGTGGTTAACATCATTAAAATACAATGTTTAAAGCTACGAACAATGAGTAAAGAAGCACTTTACATAATTAAAAGAGAATACTAAAGCTAAGAAAAATAAATATACTAGGACTAAAAAAGCCATTCCGAGAAATAGAAAATACAAAAATAGAAAACATAAGTAGTACTAAAAATCCAATCAAAGCAGTAACACAAAACAATCCATCAAAACACACACACACACACACACAGAGAGAGAGAGAGAGAGAGAGAGAGAGAGAGAGACATATACCAGGTAGCTAGTTGCTGAGGGAAGGCTTGCCTGAAGAAAAACATCTATGCCTGCTTGAGGAAGGATAGCAAAGTTGGTACCAGTCTGGCCTGAAGCCAGATAGAAATGGATCAAGATAACCTGTCTCATCCAGAAATTGACTAGATTTCTCAGTCATGGCAAGAAGGCAGGGGTGGGGGTGGTTCCGCATCTTTCTCCTTTGCTTCCTCTGGAGAGAAAGCTCCTTCAGCTGACCTCACAGCTGGTCTCAGGGAGGGGAAATCCCAGCTGTAGACAACCCCATAGGAACAAAGACGAAGAAGCAGACATGTCTGACACATGCTAAGCAAACACAGATACCATAAACGAAACAAAAACCATTGCCAACATGAGGCCATGTAATTCAGAATCAGAAGGGAAGAGGGAGGGACTGATTCTATTTTGCAGTAATGTTATGTGGATATATAAAATACGTAAATCAAAAACAATGGGCAACTGAACTTTCTCTTAAACAGGAATAAATAGGTTGTGTGGACAGGCTCTAAGAGCTGCAGTACAAGACAGTAATATTTCCAAGATATCAAGTTACCATTATCAAGAGATCATTTGAGTCCTCATGAACAAAATCCCCATTTCAGTATCTTGAAACTCCTTTTCTCATTTAGTTTAAGGTATTGTTATGTTTCTTCTCCAATATAGTATTGATTTAACTTTAAAAAGAGGAGAGCAGAGAAAAGAGAAAGTCAATGTGCAAAATTATCCCTGACACTACTGAATGAGACCAAGCCAGTCGTTTCTGCCAAATAACAGCACTGTTCAATTTTGTTCCAAAGGAACTGGCCGTTCGGTATGAAAACGTGCTATTCTGCATTGTTGATGTGGATTTGGCAGAGGTAAGCTATTAACATCAGAGGACAAATTGCATCAAGTGTGTCTATTATGGTAGTTTTCACGTCCAGATGTGTCAGGCTACAACTGCCAGCCTTCCAAGTCACATGAATCTTAAGATATGAATCACACTGGATTCATATCTAAAGAAATCTAAAGTACACTGGATTCAGAAAGGCTGAAAAGCCTAAAATAGACCTTGCTTGACAAGACCTGCTTTTGTGGATGAGATTTGATCCCATTTTCAAACAGTGGTCAACCATGTGCCTCTAAAACAGCTTTCCCTCAACATGGGAATATCCTCCCAGATATTCGTGTTTCCATCTCCCATAAGCCTTCCCAGCAAGCATTGCCAAGAGTCAAGGATACATATGCTCTGAAAGCTTATAAATCAGATATGAATGTGATTGCCATCCCTTCTTGCATCACAGGTCCACTGCTTCAAAGTTTTATATTGCTTTCCAAGATTACTGTCAGATGATAGACTTTTTAACTCCTGAATATGTCTTATATTTTTAAAAGCACTGAAGACAATGTTTAGTGCTATACCTAAGCATATTAAAGTAAGCACTTGCAGGGTGACTAGCAAAGTTTTTGTTATACCACTTCAGACTTTTCATTTCTTTCTGACCTTAGCTGCAATCCTCATAGCAGACAAGTGTGGGGTAACAGGTTTATCTGGCAACAATATATGGTATTGATGTATCCCAGTGGTAATGCAAAATATTGAGGGAGGGGATTGGTTTTGAATGAACAATTGAAAAAAGCCATTAATTTTACGCAACCTTGAGTACAAGGCTATGACAGCTGTTAGTATGAGCAGCTGCATTTCCAAACCTGTCACTGAGCTATTATTATTATGCCACTGAATTATGAAATGTGTGGAGAATGCTCTTTAGCTACTAGAGGAGTACAAACATCTCCCATCTCTTATACGAGGGTTGAAATACAATAATGAACCCACCACACTTGCCATGAAGGAGAAGAACACATGAAAATAAGGCAGAGGCTGGCTTTTGCTTTTGAAAACAAATGGAAGTGTACGTGTGGTGGGGGAGGCACTATTGTGTTTTACACCCTGCTTGTTAGGGCTGCTTCCACTATTCCACGTTTTTTTAATCTGGAATTGCTATTGTTCAATTTCTCATTCTCAGGATGTGGCTGACCTCTGCAATATTGTCACTATGCCAACGTTCCAGTTCTTCATGACAGGAGAAAAGGTATTTGGAGCCTCGTGCGCTGGCTTCTGTTTGGATCTCTGCCCCTAACCTCCAGGTTCTGCCCCAAACTCCTTCTGCCCTCGCTTCTGCTTCCTCTCTAGTCCCTACAGCTCCTGAGAAGGGTTAACTAAATGAAAGTTAGCAATTCTAACATCTGTGTATGTTCCTCGCTTGTCTCAGGAACCAAACAAGTTCCAGACCCAATGTTTGAATTTCAGCGTGGTCGCATGAGTCCTAGCGCATGTAATCTGTTGTCTGAGGTGGCTACAGAGGGCCATGATTTAGAAACCATTAGGACTTGTGGGTTTCATTAAAGATCCCTACCTCTACCATTCGAATACTGAGCAGGATCTCTGTGGTTCTCTTGATAAAGGGCCTTAAATGCTGCTACTGCAAATTCCACTCTTGTTTATCCTCAAAGCTCAGCAATGCACATTCTCCTTTTAATGGCTGTGCCACGGTGGGAAAGAAATATATGTGCAAATATTTCTACAATGTATGTAAGACAAAAGCCTTGGGGGGCGGTAGCATTGATACACTTTTACAGGGCATCCCTCAGTCTTGAGAGACTGTAGTAACATGCTCTGTATGGAGGACTTGGAACAGCATCTAGTGTGGCTGAGGAGGCCAATTCGAGAGTGACAATCCCTTCCACACTGAAGACAAATACAATGTGTCCCCTGTCCAGCTCCCTGATTTTGCTGGTTTCGTGACTGCCTCTTTGCCTCGGCCTGCTGGACAAGGGTCTCTTCAAAATGGGAGAGGCCATGATGCACCGCCTGCTTCTTGACTGAATGCTCAGATGTCAAGGTTTGCCATCTGTTGAGGTCCATTCCTAAGGCCTTCAGGGCTGGCAGGGAAAATTTTAAAAAAAATGTAGTCCTCAAAAGAATCTGCTCTTTTTTCTTAAGAGTCATACTATGGTATTTTGTTTTATTTTTCATGTATAGTAATCACATTGAGTACTTTTATACTTTATATTGGGATGGGGAACACCTGGCCCTCCAAACATTTTGGACCATCCCATACAGAACAACCAGTGACAAGTTGTTTCCCAATTTCTGCTTTGGAATTTTTTTAATTCCACATACATGATAGTCTTTTAATAAAAGCCCTGGAAGGTAGGCCAGCATTATTATTCCCATATTTCAGATGTGAAACTGACATCTGGCTTTGAAACTGAGAAATGACAGCTTACCCAAGGCTGAAATCCCATATGCATTTGGGGTTAAGTCCCAACAAGCTTAACAGGACCTATTTCTGGATAAAGACACTTTGAGCTATCACTGAGTTCAGGACTGAATCAAGATTTGAACCAGTTTCATGGCAGAACTTTATTACTATTACTAACGGGAATGTGGAAAACAGCTGGCCTAAATGGAAAACTGGAAATGAAAAAAATACATTCTAGCTGGTGGAAATGTTATGTTCAAATGGTGGCCGTGGGGAATGGAAACACTGGTTTCAGCTTCACCTAGAAACACAGCCTCTGTCACACTGTGCAGTTACACTGCTTCTGGGAGTGACTTCACAGTAGGGAATACCTGCTTGGATTCAAAGTTTTCCATATTGGTTCCCTGCTGGTCTCCATGGGGGAAATTGCTGTAGCTGCCCAGACAGTGTTGCAGGAGTCAGCAGGGGCAAGGGCAGAGGTAGAAAGCTGACTTTCCATTGGGACCACTCTGAAAATCAGAGCATATTGCTTCAGCTTCATCCTGTTCTGTTTTTTTTCAAAAACAGCATGTGACATGGAGATAATTTCAAGGGGATCCTCCAGATTTTTACAAGACCTTTAAAAAAAACTTGCTGATTTCTGAGGCAGATTAGCAACACCATCCATTGCCATCAGAAGCTTTCAATTTAACACCAATCTACAAAAAGCGAAGTGGGATAAGATCCAGCAGATAAGATTGTTTTAAAGGGATTTAAATAAATTATTTGAGGTTATTGAAAGTTGTTTTTTTTTTTAAAAAAAAAATCTCCTTAAAAAGATGCTGATTCCTTAAAAGAGAAGAAAGGTGGGGTTTTAAGATCGACAGAAATCCTGGTAAAATTGACTCTTAAGTGGCACTAAATGACACCAACCAGCACAAAGCAAGGGGGAACAAAATCTCTGTCTGGGTGAGCCCCACCCCCAGAACTAAAATTTCCCCTTGTAGGGCATGAAGGTTAACCATCTCTTCTCTCAACCCTTTGATAACATGGCAAAAAAATGCAAACTGTTGTTTTACATTATTTTTTTCAGAGGTATATATCCCATTATAGCACTACAGAAGTATAGTGGTGTCAACATTTTACTTTGTAGCAAATCACCACTGCCATTTACACCACTTGACTTACACCAGTGTACTATCTAAAAGGTTTCTGGCCAATATTTTTAAAAATGTTACTAAAAAAAAAATACTTTAGCACTTTTGAAATAGCTACAACCAACCAATCAGTCAATAAGAATTATTATGCTAGCACCCACAGCAAAGGGCATAACAAATGTGCACTGAGTTGTGATATATCCAGAAGCACTCTAAGTCACCATAAACCTCAATACCATGCTGCTTTAAAATGAGAGAAGAGCAGCACTAAGGGCAATGGGATGGAAAGGACATAATTGTACAAAAAATGAAGAGTACAGTTATACCTGGGTAATCAGCTTGGGTTTCTTCCAGTGAAAGAACAATAACTTAATAGCACAAGGAGACATCGGCCTGGAAACTTAAAACATTAAAGCCTTTTAGTGACACTGAAGCACGTTCAAAGTCAGAATGGGATGAGCCTCTCTGGCGAAGGCATTCCAGGGCCAAAAAAATCCACTCCACCGTCACCAGCTCCCTGATATCTGAAAGTGGGGGCAAGGAGAACCATTGTCAAAGGAAGTTTGAGCAGTTTATGGGTAGACTTGCTTAAGAGGAACCCTCTTCTGAAATTCCTGGCTCTTCGATTAATGTCTTTAATCTCCTCCCCTTTTGTTCTAGATTTTTGAAATAATTGGAGCTAATGCAAAAAAGCTGGAAGAGAAGATTAAAGAGCTGATGTAATCCTGCAGTCCTAGATTGTGGTCAACAAATGTCATTAAAATAAGATTTCCATCCAGGATATGCTAATTTGGTGAAATTATTGATCCATAGAAAAAAGACTGATAGTAGAAAAATGGCCAGGTTATTAAGGCTTGAATTCAGTTTTTAGTACCAACTAGAATAGAGTCATTGAACCAGAAGTTCAGAAAATCTTTGTCATCTGAGACTGTTTCCAGAGGAACCAAATCAAGCCTGGAGTCCTATGATTAAAAAAAAACTGTCCAGAGTTTCATGGAAACTAGTTTAGTGTGGGAAATGAATGTTGTGAAATACGATATGTGAGAAATTCTTTCTTTATGAACACATTAAGGAAAGTAAGGATTCAGTGCCTCCTTAGAAAATCTGAATGATTTTCTCAGATAGTTATTTTTTATAGTCATAGAAGTTGGAAAGGGCCTATAAGGTCATAGAGTCCAACCCCTGCTCAATATCGGAATTCAAATCAAAGTATATTTGACAGATGGTTGTCCAATTTTCTTTTGAAGGCCTCCAACGTTGGCCCACTCACCACCTCTTGTGGTAATTGGTTCCATTCGTATCTTGCTCTAACAGTGAGGAAGTTTTTCCTGATAATCAACCGAAATCTGGCTTCTTGTAACTTTTGAGCCCATTATTACATGTCCTGCACTCTAAGATGATTGAGAACAGATCCTGCTCCTCCTCTGTCTGACAATATTTCAAAAATTTGAAAAGTGTTATAATATCACCCTTCTATCTTCTTTTACCAAGGCTAAATATGCCCAGTTCTTTCAATCTTTCCTCAGAGGGCTGACCAGCCTTGTTGCCTCCTCTGAACTTGTTCCAGTTTGTCATCATCCTTTTAAAAGTGTGGTGTCCAGAATGGGACACAGTACTCCAGGTGAGGCCTAACCAGTGCTGAATAGAAGGGAATTAGTATTTCATGGGATTTGGGGACTATATTTCTGTTAATGCAGTCTAAAATACCATTTGCCTTCTTTGCCGCTACATCATACTATTAGCTCATATTCGGCTGGTGATCTACAGCAATTGGAAGATCCTTCATGCTTTTAGTATTCCTGAGTGAACTATTCCCCCATCTGCTAACAGTATGTTTCGAGTTTTTCCCCCCTAAATGTAGAACATTGCCCTTATCTCTTTTACATTTTATTCTGTTGTTTTCAGCCCAGTGCTGAAGCCTGGGAGGAAAAACATGATGAATTATAATGAGGGTTGCTGACTGAAATAAATATATTTAAGCTGATTAATTATCTGCCTTTCAGCAAATTAATCCATGATGAAACAAATGCATTTGCTAGTTGTAGGTGAAGAATACGTCTTAATTTTGTAAAATCCATTCGGTTTGTAATGTAATGGAAAAGGAAGTAATGCTTACACCCTTTCTTTCTTGAATTGATCATCTGCTTAGAGGTGGTGGTTGCTATTATTTGCATTTCGGCCCCACCATTTCATTGCTCTTCACTTATCAAGATGGCTAACAGCAGCAACAGTAATCTGGAATTTGAAATTGACAAATGTGCAGTTCTGTCTACATACTGTGGCAAGGTCCAAAAAATAGATGGAATAGAGTTTTACAATGCAACTCACTACTTTTAAAGATACCTAGGGGTACTACTCCTGCCTTACGTTTTGATTCTTTTGCCAAGTGCATTAGATTAAGCACCTCTCTAATTGTGTCTGACATCTGTCTACCTTGTATGAATCCGTTTTGATCTTTCTTAATATAATTCCCTATGCAATTGTTTAATCTTGTTGCCAAAATTGCCATGAATATTTTAGCATCTTGATTTATCAGTGAGATCGACCTGTAAGATTCCATATTTATAGGGTTTTACCTGGTTTTAAAATTACAACTCTTAATGACTCCTTCCAGGACTGGGGAATTTCTGCTCCATTTAATATACGATTGTATAAATCCTTTAATTTTTAGATAATTTTTGGGAAGGTTTTATAGTAAGGGCTTTAATCCGTCTATGCCAGGTGTCTTCCCTGCCTTTAACTTCTTTATAATAATTCTTATCTCTTCCTCTGTAATTGTTCTCTCCATTATTTCTCTATCCTCATCTGTTAACACTTTCTTAAAATTCTTTTTCATATATTGGTCAATCTTTTCTATAGAAGGATTCTTACTTGTATATAGGTCTTTATAATTTTTTTGTAAAGCTTCCAGTGTTTCTTTCATTTTACTGCATCTATCCCTATTCTGGCTTTTTATAACTCCTATATTACTCTTACTTTTTTGGGAGGCGGGATGCTTTAGACAGACACTTTGAATTTTTATTACTCAATTCAAAATAGTCCCTAAATATATTATATTCCTTTGAACCTTTTTCATATTAATATCTTCTAGTTCCTTCCTTTTAGCTTGTAGTTCCACCCTTATTTTCTCTAGTTATTATAGCTTCTTTTTCTGATATCTCAATATTATCTTCTAGTTCCTGAATTCTTTTCTTTTGATGAGTCTTGAACATATGTGCCACTTTTATGACATAACCTCTGGCCACAGACTTCATGGCATCCCAAATTATCTTAGCCTATCCACCTCCTTTCATATTTCTTTCCCAAGTCTACTTCAGAATGATTTAATAAAATAGATTAATAAAATATGAAATAGTCAAATAACTGTAGTTGGAATTATATAGGCAACTAACAGACACAAATGTCTTTAATGTAATGATAAGTTTAAGTACAAATAATATGTGATCATGTATAGCATGATATACTCCCTGTTATCCCGAGCTATTTCCCATTATCCTTGAAATGTAAAAAAAATTAAAAAGGCATAGACACCAGAGAAGAGAATAAAATAAATCTCTTTGCAGATGATACATTATAAATAATTAAAAATCCAAAAGATATTTTGCAGAAAATTGGAACAGATTTAAATGTATAACTGGTTTGAAAGTGAATTGGGTTAAATTCAAATCTATTTTATTAAATCATTCTGAAGTAGATAAGAGGGGATTGAAAAAAGAATTTAAGGGAAAAGTAGAGAGTGTAATTAAATACTTAGGAATTTATATTACATGAAATTTACAAGAAATAATTAAATTAAAAATGGATAAATTGAAGAAAGAAATTAATGAACAGATAAATCAGTATCAAAAATTAAAATTGTCATGGTTTGGTAGAACAGCATTATGTAAAATGAAAATTATCCCTAAACTTAACTTTGTATTTTGGATGCTCCCAATAAAGATTGGAGAAATATATTTGAAAGTTTGGTATAAGCTGATAAATAATTATTGTAATGTAAATAAGCAAAGGAGGATCAATAAGAGGCTACAGTATATTCCACAAAAAGAAGGAGTACTTGGACTACCTAATATTAAATTATATTGCATCGCAAATCAGCTTAGATATATATCAGATATTATAGTACACAATAGAAACCTAATATGGAGGGAAATGGAAATGTCAGAATACCCTGACAGAATGGAGGCCTTCTTTTTTAAGAAAAAAATTGCAGAAGAAATTAAGAGAATAACTAATCCCTTTCTGACGAATAAGATAGAGTGTTGGATAATTATAGATATAAAATTGACAAAATTCAAGGAAATTATTGAACAAAAACAAGATGAAGAAGAAAACAAAATAAAGGAAACGGTTAGTGTAAATTATAAGATTTTAGTACATTCCGGATTTGAAAAAGTGATGATGAAAAACCAATGGTAGGAGAACAATGAGGAAGAGATTAAAGGAGAGGATTGGAACAAGATATGGTCACAAAGAATAATGAAGTATGTCTATAAGGGTAAAAAAAATTGTTATAAGGTTGCATAGAGATGGTGCTTTACTCCAGCAAGACTAAATATAATAAATAAAAATATACCATCTCAATGCTGGAGATGCAAAAAGAAAAAAAGGAACTTATATGCATATGTGGTGGACATGTGAAATACAGTAAGAACGAATGGGCACTGGTTTTTAAGGAAATTAAAGTAATTATTGGACATGATATCCAGATACCACCAATTATTGCCTTCCTAAATATAATTAAGAATGACCATCTTTTAAAAAAATCAGAAAGAGCTAGTTATTTTAATGGCTACAGTTGGAAGACTAATATTTGCAAAGAATTGGAGAAGCGACAAACAAATTAATCTTCAAGATTAGTATAAAGAAATGTGGTGCTTAGCAATTAATGATAAGTTAACATGTGAAATGAATATAAGAGGAATGGTAAAGTCTAATGATTTCAAAGATGTATGGAATTCATACATAGTGCATATCTTTTCGAAGGGAAAAGGCTATATACCAGCAAAAAGAATCCATGTATTTTTGGATAGGAATGGGGTGAAAGGGGATACAAACTGATATTATTGGTCACCTAGTCCCAAGGGTGAAAGTGGTATGGGTGTGGAAAGTCCAGTGTACATTGTATGTAGTTATTATTTAATTTGTATTTTTGTTTTAATATTAAATAAACAATATTTTTTTTAAAAGAAAAGAAATTAGTCTTTGGATTCTCCCTTCGGTGTATTCTGCTGTATGTACTGGTATTTCGCCAATGTTGATTCAAAATTGACTGAGACCTCCTGTTCAAACAACACAGAGCTATATATCAATATGTGTGACCTCAGCTCCATTTTTGCCTTACACAGCTGGGAAAGCAACTGTAGTAAAGAATTAGCCATATTTGTATGTGATTTTCTATTTGCATATGCATGAATGAGCCTGAGCAGACTGTGGCATCTTGCATGCGCATCTGCCCACCTCTTTTTGCTCCAGGTAGTGAGCTCCCTGTGAGTTTATAATGGAAATATGTTGGTGATGCTTTGAAAAGCAATATTAAGAAGGGCTGTTGCTACTAATCAGGGATCTAACTTCCATGCAGTCTGAATATTCAAAACAGTAGCAATCAGAATGAAGCAACACAAACAACAAGGACAGATAACAAATGGATTATTGTTTTGAGGTAGAGAGAGCACAGAATATTTTGAACATGACCTCTGTCTCCCAAAGAGTTTGAGAAGTTGTTTTTGGAAGGATTCGTTGCCAAAGCCATTATAGTTCCACGTCCCACC